GGGGGGGGATGTACAAGAGAGGAAAGAGGAGAGGATATGAAGAAGAGGACGAGGTACATGGCAATGGAATAGTGTGAGGCAGTGATAAGTGTGGGAAGGGCAGGTTGCATAAGACTCTTTGATATTATGCAAGGGACCACGTGAATGCGTCTGATGTCGCCCATTGGCTCACTTTACCGGCAATGGATTGTAAAAAGGGAAGCGTTCACACTACGTGTTCTATCCTACCCACATACACCGTCAGCCGTTGAACCCAGGAAGTGGCCGTGGAATAGCCATTCCTCAAAGGTTAACCCTCCTACTGCATTTGTATCGTATCGAGGTCGATATGGTGATCTCAATTGGGCGATCTCACTGGGATTATCTTTAGTGGTCGTTTGTTCGGGATTTTATTCACGGGGCAAATTTGCTTCTGGATGCTCAGAGAAAAGTTATGGGCATGGGGAATTTTAAAGAATTCATATTTGAGGTTTTCTCGAAAAAAATTGATGGATGGATTTTTAATGGTTTATGATTTTTGTTGTTTCATTTTAATAGTAAGGTTTCTAACGTAAAGACATTTTTTTTTTTAATTTGAAGTTTTGACATTTTTACGGTTTTTAGTGCCATGGGCCGGAAAATTGAGAACCAGAATATTCACGAAATAAATTGATTCGGCGATGAAGAATTCAACAGAATGATCAAGTCACTTTGTAATTATTAAAAATACTAGTTTTATCATTTTTAAATAAAAGAAAAAAAGTTTTTTCATTTGAAATAAAAAGGATAATTTTCCCGAAAAATTGAATATTCTCGAGTTACGAAAAACGAAATATTTAATTTGTATTATTTTTTCTGTGCTATGATCAGTAGACGATGAACATTATGATGCAATTGATGATTGATAAAATTTGTGACATGTAAATACGTAATGACGGCTGATGTATTCCCACGTGATGAAATGCTCGGTTAGTGGAGGATGGGAGACTTGTCAAAATTTGATTGGACACCGTCGACCTTACGAACTGTTAGAAGAGCGTTCAACAATCAAGGGTCTGTATTCCGCTATACCGTGGTAAGATACGGGTCTCTATGGGCTACATAGAAATAGTATGCGGCCCAATGAGACCTGGTGGGAGAGACGAAGGGGCCCATGGGGTACCGCGAAGGTCACAGGGCACTTCTCACGCCCTCATAGCATTGCGCACTGGAGTTTACTCCACTTAAATGTAACCTGTTGTACACCTTAACGTTGAGCTATTAGTGCTACACGGATGATTGTCCTAATGGCGTATGCGTATGAATTTATCATTAAGAATGGGAGAGGGATTCACGTGGGTGTTGGCATGAATTGTTCAATTGGTTCATCATTCTTCGATGACAATGGATCCTTTCATTTCAACATTTTCCATACCCCAGTTTACACTTGATTAATTCAAGTACTGTCCAGCAAAGTTACTAATCATGCCTTCAGAAAATAATTATTATTAATTACTATCACTATCCGACTTTTCTTCGCTACGATGGAATATTCCACAATTTATATTAAAGAGTAGACAATGTCTCGTCGGAAAGAAAATATATTTTTTAATTTGGAATTATCTTTTAAAAAAAAAGAAAAAAATATGCTGACAGTGGAAAAGTAGAGATGGTGTACCCCAGCAGTCACCTGTCTCAAAAGCTCAAGAGCAGCAACAGAGGATCGGAAAAGATCATATCTCGTGCTACATCGTCCGCGATATGACCACGCTCGCCTATTGCTACTTGTCTTACGATGCAACCACCGGTCCCAAGAGAGAAAGAGAGAATAAGGCCCCACCTCGACCATATATCCAAGCTTCGATACGATTTATCTCGATCGGTTGCCGACCGCTCACGCGCCAACGAGAGCCCAAGCGTGTTTAAGTATTGGGTGGCAAAACACATCATCCAAAACAATAAAAACAAAAACAATGATTCACCCATTTCCAATCGTGCCCCGATCAAAAGACACTCAACTCATGATAACAGTCACGCGAGTTTTCATTTTCCGGTTATTCTCAAATTTATTCTATTCTCAATTCGTTAGGCTTTCCTGGGACAAAGAAGAGTAACAACAAATGATTCCGTTAATTCTCTTACGCATCTAATCTTGATAGCTAAACCGCGTCTGCACAGCTAATTAATCAAAGACAATCAAAGTATGGGAGCGTCGACTTCACTCGACTCTCAACCCACAAAACTTTAGCACGCTATCTGTCATCTTTTCATTCTAGCGATAAATCTGCAGCATGGAACTTCATAAATGAATAGCAAAAATTTTATATTAACCGCCTACGTGAGTGTAACCGTCGTTATTACTACCGGATGTGAACTTTAAAAGCGAATTTTTATGGGAATTCACAATGCGATTATCTTCTTCAGATCTGCACACGCGTGCGCCTATTGACCTGGTCGAGGGAATAACTGTCAGATTCAGCGATTTCGCGTACAAAAAGAGGACATGGGTTGAATCGACTCAACAATCTGATCAATTCAAGTCATTCTCGTCAACTCAGACGGATTTTACTTTGAACTTGACTCGAATAAAGATGATAAACAAATAATATAAACGATCGACAGAGTTTGGAAATAAAAAATAGAGTCAAAAGGGTTCACGTCAATTATATCTCTCGGACAACATGGTACCCTAGAAGGAATGGTTTTTCGTTCCGGATCTCCCTGTGGCGAGAGATCATGTTTTATTTTCCATTGCATCACCCCAACATCCAGTCACGGGTCTACCGTACACCGGGTCTATCTCACATATATGGTATTGACGGACGCACGATAGGAATTTTCCGATAGTCTGTTATAAAACGGATGTCGGAATTTATAGACACAGTTGACGATAGGATGAGACTTGCTGCATAGTGGGATGAGTATTGTCTAATCTCCACGATGAACCGGGAGATTTTATTCCGAGTGGTTTCCCGTTGACCGCATACCCAATGTCGATGTCTGAGTTAATATCCTAGACCCTATCTTTAAAGACGTGTTTACTGGGAAAACAATAGAATCTCTGATCGTGTCTACCTTCGTGGAGAAATGTCAACAGAGGTTAAGATACACATCCACCTGTATAACCCACCTGTGAGTTAATTCACGTTCTTGCGAGATGATAGATTGTTATTGCAATGCCCGGTTGAGACGAAATTCCCGGGTAGACTCGTTAACCATGCGGACTACTTTGCCCAGACAATTACCATGGTCAGGTAAGCAGGTGAAAGTCGGGCTAAGTTGAATCAGCCACTAATAGGTGTGAAGGGAAAATTGTTGGCTTGAGACAAGTTTCATCTGCTGGTTCGCAGCAATTGTAATTGACTTTTTCGGATTTATGGATTCTATCATTCATCCCAGAAGAGCCGTCATTAATTAATTTGATATTCATCGAGTTTTTAGGAGAAAAGCGTTGCGCATTTTTGGGGGATAATAATTTTTGAAAGTTCAGGTAAGATCGGAACTAACATCATCAGCTTCTGGAGCAATGTAATTGTAATAATTGGAACCGAATGAGAAGTGGAGCTTTCAGTCCAATTAATTCATGAAAATTGATCAACATCAAAAATCATTAATTAATTAGGCAATTAGGGATTTGTCATTCTGTTCTTTAATATCAGATTGTCTGCGCGTGCTCGGCACGTGCATTCGTTCGAAATGTTTGGGGTTTAGCCACGACGTCGCGGTGGTGGGTCGATTTCGTCTTCCAGGTCTTGCCCTTACGGTGATTCAAGATATTCTGAGATCATTTTTCTTTCTCCTTTTTATGTAAGGAAAGAAAGTAAATTGCAAATTAAATCATTCTTTCCATATTTTCTTTATGAAAAAAATCATTTGATTCCCAAACTTTCGCGAATTTTTTCGCTCCGCCCGCTCCTAGGTAAAATTCGTATAATAATTCGCAATCTCCTTTGGTTTACGCGAGAATTCTCAAATCTTTACGATTTTCTATTTTTTTACATTTTTTGAATTTTTAAAATTTAACTACAACGTCGTGATGGCGGGTCAGATCGATCTTACTGATCCTACCCTTACAGTCATTCGAGATTGTTCGAGAATATCGCGATCGATTTCCTTTCCCCTTTTTATATCATAAAATTGATAAAGAAAAGAAAAGAATTTTCACGCGAGTTTTTTCTTGAATTGTTTAAACCTTATGAACTCAAGTATCATCTCAACAGTTTAAAATGGAGAATAAAGTAACAGAGAATTGCAGGGAGAAGAAAGGACATCCTGAAGTTTAACCTCTCCTATTTTTTCGTCCCCTTTGTTTTTCGTCGTAGCATTATGAATAAATTCAAGTGCAAGAAGGGAGACACCGGGGAATTCCGGTCACGAAATGGATTCGTGCACGAAAACCTATCTCGACCTTTTAGACAAAGGGCTGTACATGCCGGTCAAATGCAGAAGTGGTCCAGGATGCTGAATAATTAGGGTGTATTTTCATAAATGGTAACTCACCGGTTGACGGACAGATCGGCATTGCCAGCGGTGTGGGTGTTGTAGATGGCGATGGAATTCTTCTCGTTGTGGTAATTAATGCTGCTGCTGGACTGTAACGTGGCACCTGCAGCACCACCGGTGTCTTTACCGACAGATCCACTGGCTCTAACTGAACTGGCGGTCCCGCCGCCTGAAATTTTTTAAAAAATAAAACATTATTGCAACAATGTCACGATTTTTAGAAATAATGCTTTGTTGAAGCGTGACAGTTTACACTCGCTTTTAGCAAACGTGGGAAAATCCTGGGGGGAGTACAAATTGTAGGTGTGAGGCTTTGCTGGGGGCACATGTCATGGAATTTAATAAATGGATCATGTCGTGGGACACGATACTAATAATTCCAGTTGTTTGTGAACTAGTTTCTACAAGGCTACCGACGGTTATTCCCTCCGTATCTGTCATTTCGAAAATTCCAGTGCACAGTAAAACTAAACCTTTCAGATTTTTCCAGATTTGTGGTGAAATTTTTCTACATTCCGCAAGCTTCTAGCTGGGAGTCTAGAAAGTATTATTTTTATATTTTTCCAAATCCAAATTTAAAAGGTAATTTGAGTTGAATGGGTGAATTTAAAAGTTTGAATATTTTATCGATTTCAAATTGAGACTTGAAATTTCAATGAAAACCTTCTGATAATCTCAATTTGGAACTTGGTCTTAATTTTGGGCTTTGGCCAACTTTTAATTGAAATTTTTCATTGATTCAAATCGCAATTCATGTCGAGGCAAATATTCTCGATTCGAGACTTGAGAGAGTCTTAACTAGAATTTTCTCCTGAAATCGGTATTTAAAATAAAATCTCATAATATTGAAAATAAAAATGTTTCTAAAATAATGCCGACTGGCTTTTGTACACTCCACCAATTCACTCAAAAAAAAAAAATACTTCCGAATCTTGAAATAGAATCTCCATCATTAAAAAAATTCTAACATTAAAAAACTTTTTCTCCGCGCCCATAATTCAATTCCCCACACCCGCCATAAAAATACCGGAAAATCCCCAAAAGACCGGCGTATCAAAAAAAAAATAAATAAATCGATTACCCAAAAATTTATGCCTGCCAAACGTCTTTATTTCACGACGGGAATAAATACTCATTAAAGTCACTCGTCGTGCACGATGGTGCCCGGTTCCCTCAAAGCCCAGTCATGCGATCGTAAGTCAAGTATTTCCATCACATTAGTCTCTTAACATATGGCCATAATTTTCTCACCCCTGAATAATAATTGGAATGGCCAAAAGGCGAAATCCCCTAAGTACCCGAAAACCCATCTCGACTGAAAAAAAAAGATGATAAAAGAAAATTGAGCATTGGTTAATTGGATGCCAGTGATGCACGTAACGAAAAAAATCACTTGATATGCGCATGCAGAATGAAATGGGAGGCGCAGGAATCCCAACAGTACACACGGTGTATTGGTATGAGACACGCCCAAATGACGTCACATCCCATGCAATCTTGTCGAAATGATATGAACTCGGTCGAATCGGTTGAACGATAACCCCCAGTGCGAATTAAGCTGCTAAGAATTTATCGCACCCCCTCGCCGTATTTGGCCCCTCCGGCTAAAATATTCTCATCGTCTTATTATTTCTCTCTCTTCATTTCCCTTTACATTTGTTCATTTTAACGCGTCGTCGACTCCCTCATTGCACTCCACCAAAGGCCTCCTATCTCTTTTTACACTCTACAGCCAGTGCACTTATCTCCCGCCTCGTAAAGATGTCATTGATCATGCTACGAGTATGCCAGAGGTTATATTATTCCGGTGGTGAAACATATTCGCTGTATAACGACCCGAGACGCCTAGCGAATTAATACCAAAGAGGAGAGAATTGACCTTTCGGAGAATCCAAGTACTCATGACAAATCATCGAGAAATTAGACATTTTTTTATTCTTTTTGTTCCATCGGTGGACGATACGATCCTCAATCTGGATCGTTGAGAAAATTAACGGAATCATTTCAAATGCGCGAATTTTATGTCACGTGCAATTTCAGATGGATTTGTGAGTGAAATTTCAATAAATTTGTAAGTGAATTCTGAATACTTCTCACGCTGTAATCAATCAGGAAATCGTGAGATCGGTCATTTTTATTGAATATTTATTTCCGCATGTTTCCTGCGTAATCTGTGTTTCCGTGACATGACACCTGTTGAGGCAATGAACCGAGAACACGGGATAATGACTTCATCAATGTATGTCAAAGACGTTATCAGAGTTATCGCGAAGTCTCAATTATCCGGTCGTAATTATTTGTTCAGCAGCTCGACGTTGTCAGCGTGTCGGGGATAAAAAATAGTTAATGTTCGGGGGCTGCTCTCCATCAGCGTGTAGTCATTAACCGTGGAATGATTATTTTTCATGGGTACGAGGCGGTGAATCCCGTAAAACTGCTGGAGGTGGTACATTTGGTAATTTGACTTCGTTAAAAATATTGGGGTATATATCTTTCGGACTATCGGCTACTGCACCTGAGTATAATTCGTACGACCAGTATCTCACTGTAAAAGTCGGTAATTTCTCCTGACACTATACTGTTGGAAAATTACAATCGAAATTTCCAGAAAAAAACTTGAAATTTAAAAAAAATCTTCGTTGGCCAATTGTTCAATGTCGTGAATATTACGGTGCACTTCACTTATTGTAATTTCCGGAAATTTTGGGATTGAAAATTCAAAGTTTTATCCAAAAAAAAAAAAAAAAACTGCAAATTCGGTACAACTACTTCAGAAGAATTCCTAAAAATTCAATAAATTCTGATAAACACATCTGTAAATTTTTTGTTAATTAGAAACTGTTCGGAATTTAAACTCAAAGTATTGAAGTGAAAAAAATTTGATTTATGCTCTTCCCGGGAATTTAATGGCGATCTTCCGAAAATAATTTATCAGGAGACATTGACATTCAGTTATTTCTCGCCAATAAATCGATAAATTTTCCTGGAGATCAGAGGTGAAAGGGTTCAGAAATGCAAATCGGCGCTGATTTAATGCTCACGCATAGAACCCTCGAGTGAACAGTAGTCAGTCAATATTTCACGGATAATTCAAAATACTCGGAGATAAGGTGATTTATCTCTCCATTGATCACACCGTTTGCAATCTACACTCTACCATCTGTTTGAACGGATGCGAATAACGTAATATCATTTCCAATATTTTTGCAAAACCCTAGCAATCACGCTAACTACTCACCAACCCACCCGCTGAAAAATCCCGGTTTACACTTGACGATGATAGAAAATGATGCATTGGTGGTGATGACGTTGGATGCGTAAAATCATTGAGCAAGACTCCGAACAACCTGCCCCCTTCGACAGGTGGTTAATAACACTAAGATAAATATACTGAGAGAAATTTCCATGGTGGATTTAAGTGTACGGGAATTGTCAAAAAAAAACCTTTGCAATTCACAGAAAGAAATATTCAATCAAAATTCCAGTTCATGATTTTTTTTACAAAAGGATAATCAACTGAAAAATCAGGAATTATATTTAGTCCACAGCTAAATGAAGTCCAAAATTCAAGATTAAAAAAAAAATACGAAATTAATTTTGAAAAATGTCTAGTCGTCATTCTCAAGACTGGCAATCACTTAAATTTGCCGTTTTAGAAAATATAGTTAAATATACCCCTTTGAATACATAATAGAATTATAGAAAAAATGCGGAAGTTTCCGATCTGAAAACATGAAGATCGCCTTGGTTATTACCAGTGCCGAGACTAATCATCCAGCCTATTCTACGAAAGGTAATCGATGAAAATTATCATATTAAAGCCGACTCTCCTAGTTGTTTCCACAATGGGAGAAAGTCGAGTACTTTTTTTTTACAAGATTTTTCCGCTAATTTAAACAATTTCTTTCTGTGGGCGTATCAATCTTTGTGAAAATAGTCTATCCCAGTGCGCTCTCGTCTCGTTTTTTTCCGTATGCATCATTAAGCCGCATACATTTGATAAGTTACAGCGCATAAATAATATCACCGTAAGTAGAACTGGCCCAACAGGCCCAACATTGCGGGAGTATTTCGTACACAGAGATGCGTGTAGAGGGGTCCCTGATGATACATTCGACAGGTGAAAGTCGTGATGCTGTCTAATTTCATGGAGAATTTACAATTTGTAAGCTGGACCAACCCGGGCTACCGTCCTTATTGATTATTATCGTCCATTCGGAATATACAGACCGGGTACTGTATACGTAATACATTATACGCAATACGTGTATTAACAGCGGGAAGTCGAACCTCCAAGCGCCAGGGCACCCCGCCCATGGGGTCCATTCGGCATCGGTTAAATTAAATCGGCGTAATTAAGCACTGGTCATAATTTCGCCAAGTCATGATTCGCCGAATGTTTGGGGAATCGTCCCTTAAATCAGGGACATCGCGACTCCATCGGTGCCGTTATAATGAACTTGTAATTGCGCCACGGAGAGAACCTATTCTCTAAGTATTCTAGACTGCACTCGTGAAAATTTTAAATCACGGAGCGAATGGATAGGAAAAAGTCTGCGACGGTAATTTTCAACCGGGATAGGTTAAATTTTGTTTTCAAGATGTCCAAGAATTTCGAGTAGTCACCAAATTATATGGGATGAATGATAAAGAAAATTATATATACAAAAAACATATATATATTTTTCTTGCGTCACTCTGGTCCAGGGTTTTCAATAAATTTCGAAAAAATATAAAAATTTGAAGATATGGAGAAGGAGAAAAACGTTAGATTGTCCTGAAATAAACGGTCAAACTGGTATCTCTCCTTCGAGGATAATTATGAGGGGGTGCAAGCAATGTTTAGAATCGCTGAGTGACAAGCGGTTTGAACCAGACAAACATCTCACACCAGACGAGAGATGGGTAAATCGAACGAGTAAACGTCGTGTTTACGGTTGCTCCAGCATCGAAGCATCCTGAGAAAGGGCCAGTTGTAATGCACCACTGGACGAGACAGCGGATGATAAATCACATGGACTCGCCCAACGCCTGCCGATTAGATTGCTATGTACCTCAGCTTTCCCCTTTTTACCCATAAATGAATAAGAAAAAGCGGGAAGATGTAAAAAAAAAAAGCGGAGACTCATGTGCGAGGAGAATGGCGAGTTGGGTTCAGCAGGATGCTGG